GATGGGAGGCATTGGTATTCTCCATGGTACCACAAATGTAACATGCATTTCACTTTGAGGAATATACAAGGTTATTTGCATGCTTCCGTCTCAGAAAGAGTGAAGAGGCAAGGATGTCACAGTATTATATTTATAGATGTGTTTATCAGGTGCAAGGAACCCAGCAACTTTTTCTCTTCAGATATATAGGCTATCATTATATAGCCCTGCAGTAAATACTAAATATATTTCCAAGCTCAAATTAAACGGCAGTTCCATCAAATGAATAGCAGAGTGGTGGAAATCAATCTTATCAGTTGTTTTTCTGTTCCAAAGACTACAAGAATGAATCACAGATTTGACATTCCTAAATTTATTGAATTGACTGCAGTTTTGAAGCTGTTCTTCTGTCTGATTAGTCAGGAAACAGTTGTCTCAGAAGGGGGAGAGACATACTACTCTTATTTCACCAGAATCATAATGACATACTTTCACAAATGAATATGTTTTTCTCAGTGCTTGAAAAAAAATAGAAAATACTAATTTTTTTTTTTAAGTCTCAGGATTGCTGGTAGTTCTGAAATTTGATTTAGTGGTTGTTCTTGCCCCGCTCACTTCATCACAGAGGAGATATCAGGTTCAGACCTCTGGTGCCCTTATGTTTCTCTGGACCAGGATGTTTGTCTAGCTTTTGCCAGTATTGATGTAGAGTTTCACCAGTCCTTTGTTTTCATGTAATGCATGCCAGTTCTGATTGTTAGAACCACAGATGAAAGATTTGGGTGTAAGAGTACAGATCTATACACCTGGACTCTGATCCAGCACATTTTGGCAGAAATTGAAGAAGTGTTCAGCAGTGGCAGAGGAAGCCTCTCGTGCACCTGGGGCGGCACACCCAGGGGCGGGGTGAACCGCCCTTGGGGCGGCATGGGGCGTGCGGTGCCCATAGGGAGGGACAGGACAGGGCGTCCCACCTGCTGTCCACCCGCTGCCTCCCCCCCCCCAGCTATAGGGCGGCTGAGGCCCTGCAGTGCACCCCATCCCAGGACGGGATTGGCGGTGCCCTTAGGGAGGGACGGGGTGCCTGGCCTCAGCTGCCCTACCGCTGGGGGGGGACGAAGTGCCACCATTTTGTCACCCCCATCAAGGTAACACCCGGGGCGCACCGCTCCCCCCTTTCTATGTCGCTGGTGTTCAGGATAGGTGGCTCTGGGTTGGGTATTTTCAACCTTTAACACCTTGTCCAGGGGCCCACTCAAATCAAATTTGGTTCAGAACCAATCTGGAACAAGCAGCTTTCCATTCTAGGCAACACACACCACATTAGCTCCTCAAAGAACAGTGGCACTTCTAGCATGTCTGTTTTAGCCAACTCCAGAAAAAAACCTCTGAGGGCTCTGCCCAAATTCAAACTGCAAAACTGCCTTCTTTTTTCTGCTGATTAGTAATGCTAATATTAAGGGGATTTCCCCTATCTAGATCACCTATAACTTGAGGGAAAGTGGGTTTAGGCTGTTAGCCTCTAGCGCCCATTTTTAGTATTCATAAAAGTGACCTCTAACACATTCTTAGCAACTGCCTTCCCTCCCTCCTTTCCAGCAATCCACTGGAAATAGGATAACAAAGGAAAGTAATGAATTATTCTGTTTAGGTAATCCCCTTCTTAAAGTTGTATTAATTTTAATAAAAGTATAATGTTGAATCTGGGATGTCGAACATCGTTGCATTTGCTAAGATGTTTTAAAAGCTAAATTTGATTTAGGGGGAAGCTCTACAATGCTTAGTTTATGATGTTTAATTCATTTCTAGAAAAATAGCTCAATTATTTTTCTAATCTTATTATAACTTTACTTCTCTCTCCCAGCAAGATAATCAATATTTGTCTTCACAAGTCATTCTCAACAAAGAAAGCCAGGAACTAAAGGAATTCATATTCTTCCCTTAAAACTACCTCTGAGATTGGCATTGCAGGATTCCGCTTTGAGTTTGCCTCAAAGACTGATTACCGGAGCAAATCTGATAAATGTATGGCTGCAGCATGGTTTTTATGGTTTATAGTGAAAATCATTAACAACCAAATGCCATGTGTAATTGACAAGGAAATCCACACACTGTATTACAAATAAAAAATAAATTTAAACAGAAGTGCCACCGTATACAGCAGAGTAAAAATACAAGCAGTATCTTCAGCACGATAGAAACAAGACATAATTCTGAGTGTATGCAACTGACAAACACACTGAAATCAGAATTGGGCTTTATAAGCAGCAGCTTCATGTTTTCTCCTCATCATTCCCCTCATAATACCTGTCAAATTGCTCCTCCACTCTCCCCACAAGTGGCAATCAATGAATAGTAACCAGGCAAAAATCTCACCCAGTTATATTCAGAGTTCCTGTAAGAAAAACTCCAGTCAGGGGACACTGCGGACAGAAGAAGAGTAGGAGGCCATTTTTTTACTGAGACCATTTTCCCCTCCCCCTCCAGGTGCCTGAGCCTTCCCAAGGTCTGCTCTGGAGAGTGGTGGGACCTTGCAGAACAGTGTGGTAGGTGGTACAGCAGGCTTCAAGAGGAAAAAGGAGACCAGGGAAAAAAATCCCCTCCCTTCTCCTTCATCCAGTAGGAATGTCCACAGGAGCTCAGTCCCTTCTGCAAATGGGAGGAGCCCTTTCATACGGACAAGGGCAATTCTGGATTCCACCCACAGTGTACTGATAATGCAACACTAGTTTTATAATACTTGATATTACAGAGGAAGAGAAAACACAGTTCTTGCAATGTTTAATCCCTGTCTGAGACTTGCATTTCAAGTAATCAGACCAAATGCTCTCTTTGTAAATACAAAATAGAAATCTGTAAATAAAATCCAATTGTTTGTGTGTACACACAACTGATGAAAGTTTACTGAAGTCATCAGAGCAGATTCAAGAAACACAAAAAGAAAGTCTGGAACTTGTGCCAGCGTTTTTTAAGTATCAAGAGTGGATCATATAACAAATGTCCAGTGCTATCTTTCCAAAAATGTTTACAGGGAGAGCAGTTGCTGTGCTACAGAAAGACTTTCTTTAATAGACTAATCTCTTTTCAAGGCAACTCCTGCAGTTCTCTTGTCAACTAGTTTAATAACCACTGTAACTCAGAAAGATACACTATCCAGTCATCTAGGCTGGAATTATCTATAACTACTTTCTGAAGAAAACCTTGCTGTCCACAAATGGTGTTAGTAAAAGCCCACCAGGCCAAGTTTAAGGGTGAGAGAGAAAGGAGTGAAGGTTCATGACTCTTGTTTTGAGAGACAAAAGACTATAAGAAGAGGCCTGTCGGATCAGGCCAGTAGTCCATCTAGTCCACAATCCTGTTCTCACAATGGCCAACTTGATGCCTATGGGAAGAAAGGAAGGAAGGATTCTCCCCTCCACTTCAACTAATGCTGCTTCCCCCACCCTGGTACTCTCCAGATTTAGACAACAACTCTGATAAGCTCAGCCAGCATAGGCAATGTTCAGGAAAGGATGGGGTTCTAGTTAGCAACATATGGAGGGGACCAAGTTGGGAAAGGCTTTTCTAATGTTTGTAACATTGCTACAACAAGTGGTCTCAAGGGGTCTGGGATCTGTTGTTTTCCCAAAATGCCTGCCGTCCATAATAAGACTTACAATGAGAGCCAGAGAACTATTGGGAGGAATTGCTGTCATTTCAGAATCTGTAATCCAAGGTGGGAAATTATGCAGTTCAGAAGCATCCCTAATGAGGAATTTGCTTCATATAAAGCTCATTTTATAATTTTAATTGTGGGGGCAGCATTCTTTGTTTAAATTATGTAAAGAAAATGCAGCAAAACACTTCCAGCAAATTAGTTGCTCCTGAGGTACTATAATACCTATCTCCTCCCAGTATTAACCCGTATCGCACAACAAACTTGGAACTGCTATATCATCACTCTTATGAAAAGAAATACAAACATTAAATTAATGGAATGAGGTGGAAGAAAATATATAGTGCCGTCCTAGTTTAGAATGCCTTTAACATGAAATGAAATTGTAAGGCTGTGACAGAAGCACCTCCATGAGTGAGGAGCCACTACTGAGAAAGGCCTGTCATAGGTCAGCACCAGCCATGCAGCTCTTAATGCGGGCTGCCTGAGTTTATTATGATATTGCTATTCTCTGTCATTTTCTCTGAACTGTAGGCCCAGTCACGAAATTAAAAGATGCCTGCTTCTTGGGAGAAAAGCAATGACGAACCTAGACAGCATCCTAAAAAGCAGAGACATCACCTTGCCAACAAAGGTCTGTATAGTTAAAGCTATGGTTTTCCATATGGTATGGAAGTGAGAGCTGTGATGTATGGAAGTGAGAGCTGGACCATAAAGAAGGCTGATGGCCGAAGAATGGATGCTTTTGAATTATGGTGCTGGTGGAGACTCTTGAGAGTGCTCACTAGAAGGACAGATCGTGAAGCTGAGGCTTCAATACTTTGGCCGCCTCATGAGAAGAGAAGACTCCCTGGAAAAGACCCTGATGTTGGGAAAGATGGAGGGCACAAGGAGAAGGGGACGACAGAGGACGAGATGGTTGGATAGTGTTCTCGAAGCTACAAACATGAGTCTGACCAAACTGCGGGAGGCAGTGGAAGACAGGAGTGCCTGGCGTGCTCTGGTCCATGGGATCACGAAGAGTCGGACACGACTAAACGACTAAACAACTGTAAGGGAATCATTCAGAAGAGCATTTGTCCCTCTTACAGTGAAAATTTAAAAGTTTGCCCCAACTCCTCTGCTAACTGAAATTCAAATATTTATAAAGATATACTATCATTTAAACAAATTCGAGAAACTGCTTGTCCCCTTCTGTCTCCAGGAAGTGATTTTGCTGAAAAGCCTGTAAAATACTAACTGCATCTAAACAGACTACATCAATTTCTAATCAAAACAGAGGTATGAATACAGATGTAGATACTGTACAACACTACTAGAAAAACCTTTGACTATTCAGAGCCTGATTTTATATATAAAATCTTACCTAAATATTTGTAACCATCTTCCCCATCGACTATTGGCTTCAGCCAGGTTGACCTGGGAGCAGCTGCAGTTATAAGCTTGAGACCACGAGGTGGATACAACATGAAGGTCATTTCAACTGCTTGAGACTTACTGATGCTCTTTATTTTTGAATCAGCACCTGAAAAGTGTAAAGGGCTACTTTGTGAAAGCAGTATTTTCAGAGTGTTCAAAGCATAATTAATTTTTAAAACTCACTGACACATAATAGCTACATGGGTTTGAAAAGGGGAGTAGCATAAAAGGCATGTTCATGGAGAATAGGTCAAGCAATAGCTAACTCTTAGTCCTGACTGGCTACAAGGATATTCCAGATTTAAAGCTATAGGGTCGTATCTAACATAGTACTATGTGAACATTCCATCAATACAAGGATTTCCTCTTGCTCAGTGGCATTTTTTGCTCCCTCTCCTCCTGTTGCACGTTTCCTAAATCTGTTCTATGAGCATTCCCCCAATGCTCTGGAGATTGAGGGTGGGATGCAGAGCATGCAGTGGAGGAGGAGATGGGGGAAAGTTCTGTTAAAACAAGCAAAACCCCTTGAACTGATGGCAATTGGGTACCACCCTTCGATTTAAGGCTCCCAATACTAGCTGCTAGGGAGAAATAGCAGAAGGGAGCTATTGCCATTTTGTTTATTTGCAAAACTAAATGTACTATTCTCCTTCTATGTGCTTGGCATGGCAGTAATTCGGGATCTAATTGGGATGATGACGACAGAGGCATCACTGACACCCAAAATCACATCCTCAAATTCCAGCATTGATGGCACTAAACTTGCATCTCAGGCAGAGGAGATTTTGTTTATACTACTTTTTGCAGTTGAAAAACTGCTCAGAGCAGACACAGCTAGTTCTAAACAGCAGCTAACAACAATTAACATGCAACAGTTATTTTTTAAAAAAACAACAACCCCACAATAATATTGCAGTAAGAAGACAGGATGAAGGGCAACAAAATCTGTATTGTCCTATGGAAGCAATAAAATAATTAGCCTGGGCCTTATAAGAAGCTAAATATAAATTATATAGATAAATAAATAAATATAGCTTATTTAAAAGAGCAGAAGATGTTTTAAGGGTCAGAGCTGGGATAAAGTCTATGATTTAGAGTTTGTAGCTGAAGTGTGAGTTTAATAGACAGGCTCTGGTGCTTGCTGAAATAATACGGTTTTCTGAGGTTCATGTTCACTGGTTAGTATGTTTGCCACTAATGGTCAGTAGCAGTTTTGTTCTTCTAATGGGTGTCTCCTTGGTTGCATGGGGCTTCAGACAGAGTGCATGTTCACAGTGGAGACAATGGCTTGTAAAATGTAAAAGCGCTGAGGTTTTAAACGTTTTTTTGAGTAAAACCTTGACCATCTGTTAATGAACATTCCATGTGTTTCCATAGTTTGACAGCATGTATAACAATTTATTTCCCTCATTTGCATTTTTTGATTTCCTCAATGCACTTTTCTTTACATTTTATATGGTTTGATGGTTTCAAGAGGCGATAACAATGTTGTCCAATTATTGTTATTCTTATCTTTGTTTATAGCTCCTGGTGAAAGAGTTTCAACTAACTCTGCAATGTGTGAGCCAAACAAGCACCCCATTACATTAAGCACCAGAACCTGTCTGCTCTCTAGTCAACTGACCCTGGTGCTTTTCCCATCTTCCTGCTCACCTCCATCCCCATCTGTGAGCCAGAAATCATGGCTAAGTGTCAGCAGCAGATAGCGAGGTAAACTGAGGCAGGACATTCTGTAACTGTGATTTCTACTCCTTGCATTATGCCAGAAACCATTTTTCATGGAATAGGATGTTCCCAACTGTGGCGTTTGCATGCAGCCCCCGGTCGTCTCACAGGCTATTGACCCGTACACCACTAATCCGCTGCCACCATACCAAGTTCTCCCCAGCAAATCACTTAGTCTCAGTCAGGTTCTCAAGTTAACAATGAAGATTGTATTTTATTGCAAACACAAATAAACTTTAAATGCATTCGAAACACTGTTATCCTCTTAGTCTTATTTTATCCTGTCTCTAACTCTTCTACGTCCCCTCACACAAGAACCAACTGCACTAATTGTCTCCCTATTTCCATCTGTCTGCCAACTGCTTTCCCAAATGCTTTTTCCCAACTGTCTAAACCTCTGACTAAGCCTTTTAAAAACAGGTAGACTCCGCCTCTGGCTTTTCTATTGGTCTACTTATTAACCCTTTCTCTCCCCCTGTACAGACATTTCCAAAAGAACGGGCAAACGCCATACCAACCCTCACAGAACATTTGCATCATGTGACCTGCCCTGTGCCCCATAACACAGCTTGCTGTCCTTAGGCAGATGTCTCATCATGACTGGTGGAGTAAGATTTAACTGCTACTCCAGTCTGTCTATGGAATGGGGTGCAAAATACATTGGGCCAACCCTAAATACGTCAAGTACTAAAAGGATTTTCAGCCATTCCACTATGACTAATCAGAATTGCCTTAGGAACAATTTCCAGAGACAGTTTTGGGAGATCCAACCATACATTTAAAGTACGTACAACCCACATTTAAAACACACAACTTTCCCCAAAGAAGCTAGGGGAATACATAGCTACAGTTCCCAGCACCATTACTAAAAGACAGTTCCCAGGATTCTCTGGTGAAAGTCATGTGCATTAAATGTGGGCTGGATGTGTTTTAAATGTATGGTGTGGATCTGCCCTAAATGTGCCATGCCATGAAATCAGCTCTGTTCATAAATACGAACTTCTGACTTACCCTTTCCTTCTCAGATTCCTTCTCTGTTTTAACAAAACTAAGCTGTTTTTGAATTTATGTCCAAAAGTTTTGGTCTCAATTGGTAGTCAAACTAGTTTTAAGAACTCCCAAATATAAACTTTGAAAATTTGTTATCACTAAAACAGAGGGTTCATTTACTTCGACATGAAAAAAGTGAATGTCATGCATTTTTGTCATGTCATTTTTATTGAACACTTCTGTTCATTAGTAATAAAAATTATAAACAGAGCAATTCATTCATCAAAGTGAAAAATTTTGTGCTCGTATACCAAGAAAAGGGGAGCCAAAATAGACTGTCCTAATTCTTAAATTAATGGAGCATCTGTTGCTTGGTTACAATGTTTTCTACTTAAGCAGGAATATAATAACTGCAAGCGTATTAATGAAGACTCAGAAGGTCAGCATTAACAGCTGAAAGGTGAAAATGCTAGCAAAAAAATTTATTCAAATGCAGGTCAGCAAGGGGTTGTGATTTAAGAAAATAAATAAAAAGTTAGAACTTCCAATTTGGAAATGCCATTCATTAAGCCCTATTCTTCTGTCACAATATAATCCCCTTTATGATCCTGTAACAGAAGGGAAGGGGTGATATAGCAATATGTGAGCATGTTATGCAATAGCTGCTCCTCCCAAACTCTGTGAAGTGTCAGTGAAGCTGCTGTAACTTCATAGCATTGCAATTTGGGCTGAACTGAATAACTGAAAGGCTCCTCTAGCACCTGAGGAACCTCTAGCTCACAGGCCTAATTAGGTGGCAGGAGGTGTCCTTATTTGGACCATGAGTACATTTTCTGCAACCCACACTCATCCGCCCCACACCAGACATCACATATAGGAGACTTATAATGTGCTCTCGTTTTTTTCTTGCCAAGTGGGGGTTATATTTGGTGTCTTTTAAATCTGGTGTTAATTGCAAGACCTGCTGGGATTGGTTCCCACTCAGGAGGGCTTGATGACCATGTACCAAGTGTCATGAGTCTCATGGAGAGGTCATTTGGTGGGGGGTTGTTAGATCCTGAGGAGGAACTGTAGGGGATTGGGGAGTTACAGCTGGACTACCTTAGGAAGGGTCCTAGCAAGGTACAAGAAGTGAACTCGGGACCCCAAGAAGCATCTGAGCCTGGAGAGGGAGACAGTAGTCCAGAGGGCAGAGAGCTGGACCCAAGTGGGTTGGCAGAGGAGTTGCCATCCAAATGACATTAAGCCTGACTGCTATGGAGCCACCTTAGGTACTTCCTCCTTTCAATGAGGAGCTCCCACATTCTGAGATGCAGAGAGAAACCAGGAGAGAATGTGGCAGCTGGAGGGCAGTATATGGAATAACACCCTGTAAGTCTTGGATGGAAGTAAGTGGGCCACCTCTGTAATGTTAAAAATGGTTGCCTCCCCTCTGCAGAACACCAAGCACAAAATATATTTTCCTATACAGTACTAGTGCAAGGATCCCATAGGATCAGCCTTTTTATTTCCTAAGCAATGGGATAAGATAGATGTGGGTGAGCGATATTGGAAAATCAATCTTTTAAAAATTATTTTTAAAAATTGGCATTGTTATAATGAGGCTGTTATTGGAACGATATTGGAAAATCAATAAAAAATATTCAGTAAAGATAGCTGTGGGTGACCTGCATGTGGAGAGTTTTAAACTCTGTTGAAATTAATAGAAGTAATACATTACTATTTCGACCCATGTTCCCAATCACGTGTGTGTGTGTGTGTGTGTGTGTGTTCCTATTGCAGCTAATCAGTGCAATAATCAATCCAATCCAGTGATCAATTTTCAACTCTCTCTCCAAACCACATGAATTTCTTTTAAGTTTTGAGTAAAAACTGAATTACCTTGCCATGCTTCAGTAAGCCATGTGATAGTCGCAAGAAAATAGACAAAATCCAGGGGGAATTTAATTCCAGGTTCTAATATCTAGGAGCAGCCGTACTACCAAAATCACTAGCTAAAATTCTGAAACTACTAAAGCACAGCTAAGAGTCCTGGGGTGGGGGTGGGAAGATAAATAATATAATCTATCTGAAATAAGCCCAAAACAGAATGAAAATGCACAAAGTGCCTGATCTATTACACTATAAAGCAATATATAGGAATCATGATGAAAGATAGTTGACACATGAACTAAAGCTTACCAGAAGGGGGAAAATGCTTTTCTAAAGGCCCACTCTGACAACTCTGTCTCCACATGACAGCCAGGAATTTATATTCATGTTAATGTAGGAAGTCTTTCAAAATAAATTGTGGTGATTCCTCTTGCAAACAGGAGCCCCAATCCAAAGGACCATAACGAAGATGACACACTCACAGATTTTTGCTTAGCTAAAATCCCACTGATTAGCTAA